TAGTGCGGGACCAGGGCTCGAGAGGGGCCAGTCTCAGTGAGCCCCATACCTCTTAAGTGGCCCCAGGCCTGGCACTAGAAGCAGCTAGCCTTGGTTCACAACTTGGCTTTTCCTGGACACCTCCAAGCCCAGTACAAGAAGCAGCCATATGCAGTTCACTTTGTAGCTTATGCTGAGTGGCCCTGGATAGAGCACAGGGAGTGGCTGACATTGCCTCAAAGCCAGCACTTTTGGTGAACAGCTTCAGATCAAATCAAAACACCACCACCCAACCACTTCTATAAGTGACACACTCAATGAGTGGACTCAGTAGCAGAGCCCTGCTTAAATAAGTCTTGCTCTGTGTGGTGGGTCTCTACACAGCTGGTCCTCCAAGTTAGTGGCTAGTGGGCACAGCCAGTCCTTGCAGCTGACCAGTAAACCTCTCCCATTGACATGCCAACAGCAGTCAAGACTCAATTACAAGAGAAGGGTGTACAGTCCACACTAGGTGTGTACCGTGAGGGCCCAGCTGGGGTGATCAGGTAGACTGTGCCACTGGACACCTACAGGACACCTACAACAGTAGGCCACCCTACAAAGCTTAGGAGGCATAGCAACTCTGCCTAATACATAGAAACAATCACAGGAAAGCAGCCAAAATGAAGAGACAAAGAAACATGTCCTGAATGAAAAAACAGAACAAAACTCCAGGAAAAAAACTAAACCAAATGGAGATAAGCAATCTAACAGATGTGGAGTTCAGAACTCCACATCTGTTATAAGGTTGCTCAGGGAATTTGGTGAGACATCCAAAGAACTTAATGAGACCTTCAAGGAAGTTAATGAGGACTCCAAGGAACTTAGTGAAAACATCAACAATATAAAAAAGGACCAGTCAGAAATGAAGGATGCACTAACAGAAATAAAGAATAATTGACAGGGAATCAATAGTAGAGTAGGTAAAGCCAAGAAGCAAACATCAACTTGGAATATAAGGAAGCAGAAAACACCCAACTAGAGCAGCAAAAAGAAAAAAGAATAAAAAAAAAAAAATGAGAATAGTGTAAGGAGTCTCTGGGACAACTTCAAGCATGCCAACATTCCCATCATAGAGGTGCCAGAAGGAGAAGAGAGAGAGAAAGAAATTGAAAATCTATTTGAAAAAATAATGACAGAAAACTTTCTTAATTTGGTGAAGGAAACAGATATACAAGTCCAGGAAGCACAGAGAGTCCCAAACAAATTGAACCCAAAGAGATTCACACCAAGACACATCATCATCAAAATGCCAAAGGTTAAATAAAAAGAGAGAATCTTAAAAGCAGGAAGAGAAAAGTGTCCATTACCTACAAAGTAGCTCCCATAAGACTGTCAGCTGATTTCTCAAAAGAAACTTTGCGGGACAGAAAGGAGTGGCAAGAGATATTCAAGGTGATGAAAACCAATGACCTACAACCAAGATTACTCTATCCTGCAAAGCTATCATTTAGAATAAAAGAACATATCAAGAGTTTCCCAGATAAGAAAAAGCTAAAGGAGTTCACCACCACCAAATCACTATCATATGAAATGTTCAAGGGTCTTCTTGAAGGTGAAAAAGAACAAAAATAAGAACAATAAAATGGCAATTAATACATATCTATCAACAATTAAATCCACACAAACAAAATGAGCAAGCAGAATAGAAACAGATTCATAGATACAGAGAACATTTTAAGTATGAAGTCAGATGGGTAGGGGTTGGGGGGATAGGTGGAAAAGATGAAGGAATTAAGAAATACAAATTGGTTATTGTTAGAATGATGAACCTCAAAGGGAAAGAGTAAGGGAGGGTGAGATGAGATAAACCAAAGAACTTCTATGCATATATGCATAACCAATGGACATTGACAATAGTGTGGGGAGGGCAGGAGGGGGCAACAATGAGAAGGAGGGTGTCAAAGGGGAAAAAAGGGAGAAACATCTGTAATACATTCAACAATAAAAAGTTTTTAAAAAATTAAATTTTTAAAAAATGTACTGAAAAAATTATTTAAAGTATTAAAATATTACAATAGAATTACAAAGGCAAGTTACAAATGGTTATGTATTGCATGAATCCACTGACATAAAATGTATAGATAGGCAAATCTATAAATACAGAAGTACATTTGTAGTTTCATAGACTTGAGGAAGAGGGCTTTAGGGATATAGGTGAGACGGCTAATTGGTACAGAATTTCTTTTTAGGGTGAACACATATTCTAAAGTTGTGGCAATGGTAGCACAACTAATAATATACAAAAAACTATTAATAGTAGACTTTAAATGAATAAATGTCATGGTATGAATTATATCTCAGTAATGTTATTAAAAAAGAAATATAATTTGTGTTTATACATTTTCTGTTTCATAACACTGAATTCTTGCTAAAACTGACTTCATACTTAAAAGTGACCCGTGAATCCATAAAAATCTTAGAAGAAAATATAGTCAACAAAATTTCGGACATCATATGCAGCAGAATTTTCACTGATACATCACCTAAGGCAACAGAAACAAAGGAGAAAATGAACACATGAGACTACATCAAACTCAAAAGCTTCTGCACAGCAAAAGAAACAATCATCAAAATGGAAAGGCAACCCTCTGTATGGGAGAACATCATTGCCAATGATACATCAGATAAGGGGTTAATTTCCAAAATATATAGAGTGTTCAAATAACTCAACAAAAGGAAGACAAAGAACTGAATTAAAAAATGGTCAGAGGAGCTGAATAGACACCTCTCAAAACAGGACATACAAATGGCTAAGAGACATATGAAAAAATGCTCAACATCACTAATCATCAGAGAGATGCAAATTAAAATAACAATGAGGTATCACCTCACACCTGTCAGAATGGCCGCCATCAACAAATCATCAAACAACAAGTGTTGGCGAGGGTGTGAAGAAAAGGGGACTCTAGTACACTGCTGGTGGGAATGCAGACTGCTACAACCACTATAGAAAACACTAAGGTGTTACCTCAAAAAATTAAAAATTGAATTGTCATTTGACCCAGTGACTCCACTTCCAGGAATATTCCCTAAGAAGACTGAAACAGCAATCAGAAATAATATACGTACCCCCATGTTCATAGCAGCACTATTTACAATAGCTAAGATTTGGAAACAGCCCATGTGTCCATCAGTAAACGAATGAATAAAAAAAGCAGTGGTACATATGCACAATGGAGTACTATGCAGCTGTAAGAAAGAAAGATCTCTTATCCTTAGAGACGACATGGAGGGACCTGGAAAGTGTTATCCTAAGTGAAACAAGCCAATCAGAAAAAGACAAATAGCACATGATCTCACTTATTTGTGGAATATAATGAACATAACAGTCTGAGGAATAGGGTAGACCCAGAGACGTTGAAGTAGGGTACAGACTGACAACCCTCAGAAGAGGGAGTCATGGAGGGAGGGAAGTGATAAACCACAGAACTTATATGCATGTATGCATAACAGATGAATGTGGACAACACAGCCGGGGATGGGGTGGGGCGATGGAGAGGAGGGTGTCAATGGGGAAAAAAAGAGAAACATCTGTAACAAAAATAAATTAATAAAATAAGAGTTTCTATCTTTAAAAAATCAAAAATATAAGAAAACTGACTTCATAAAGTGCAGAACATGAATAAGAAAACATAGGTGTGCTAAAGAAAAATGCATCAATATAAAAATAAAATGTGACTTCTAATTACACACTAAATATATATATACATGTGTACATATATATACACATGTATTTATATATACATACATATATGTATAATTTTAGTATTTTTTATGTTTTTTACCTTTTATAATATTCAAGAATATTGTGTTTTAAAATAGTGTTTAACTTATTTATTTAAAATTAAGGAAATAAATGCATATTAAATGATAAAGAACACCGATCTTTGACTACATGTAAAGCTTTTTAGCAGCTGCAGGAAATGTGTCAGTGCACACATAGTAAAGTCCTTTTATTGTGGGTGAGAGAAGGATAGAAAACAAAAAGCATCAAAATTTCTAGACACTTCTCTTAAATTCTTCCATGGTTGAACTAATATAGAGAAGGGGTTAACTAACTGTTAACAAATGGAGCTTTCACTATCTAGCTGCAAATCATCTATATGTAGAGATTTTTATGTCTCCTTTGTGGCCAATAAAGTTGAAAACTATTGAGAGGTCAAGAAGAAATGTGTATTTCCAGACAAAGAGAGTTGAGAACAGTGGTGTCAAACACTTTTCATAACTGTGTAGAGAGAAAGAAGTGAGAAGTCATTAAATGCCTGGATGTAATCTCCTCATGGGACTACTTTTAAGGAGAAAAATAAATAAATGACTGTATGTATAAAGCTATTTGTACCAAGTAATATAAAGCTCTTAAAATAATCCATCCTCCTATATATCAACCTGAAGAGCCCATTGTTCCTCATGTGGGATTTGAACTAGATTCTACACATATCTTTGCTATCTGTCAATATACTTAGATACAAATGAATCTCAATAAAGAAGATTTTAATAATAATAATGCCAATAAATTTAATGTTGTCTTTTAAAGAGGTTAATTTTCTCTAGCTAAGAATTTTATGCAGTTTATACTGAAAATGCTTTAGAAATTAACATTGGAATCCTACTGAATATTAGTTTCTTTTGCTTAAATATTTATGCTTAAGTTAATTAATGGTATATTCAATGAATGCTGTTCTCATTCCAAAGTTTTGTTTTTCTATTTTTTCTGAATAAATATTAATAAATTCAGTTAAAACTATATATATGTACATATATAAATATAAGGGACAGATCACTTATACTTTTATATCACAAACACAGAGATAACCATCTTTCATATTTTGATATGGGTTCATACATCTAGTCAGTGGTTTTAGCTCAGTGGGATCCATGTAAGATTCTAAACTACAGAACTGTAAGATAAATTTGTGTTGCTTTTAAATTACTACATTTGTGCAAATTTATTATAGCAGTGATAGAAAAATAACGTGAAGATGCACAGCTTTTTCTTCTATCAGGATCTAAGTGTGATCTCCAAACTGATGGGCTGTTCTGGGGAGTTTGTGCTGATGGTCCCTGAGTTCTCACCACAGAAGAGGAGCAAGCTATCTAAAATGATTCTTACACAAAATCTAAAGATCAGAGGATTATTGTAACAACTTAATGTGAATTTTAACTTTTAACAAATTGGCTTTACAATTGTAGTTCTTATAATGCCATTTAGCTCTCAAATTTTCATTTTTGCCAAATTTGGCTGACCTGTGAGAAAACATTTAAGCAGCTGCAATAAGCACATTTTTAACATTAAAATATTTTGATAGAACAAAAAGCTCGATAAAAATCTCTTCTTGAAGTTTTAGAAGTCGCAATCAAGAAATAGTCATGACATGTCAAAGATCACTGGACCTCCATTCAACCTGATAGTTAAGAAACAAGAATTTCTTCAGACTTCTCAAAATTCTCTGAATCTAATATCTTAAACAGATAATTTAGCCCCGTTTAGGCTCCTGTGATTGTGGATGCTTGGCAAATCCAAAATCTGATGGTAGAGGCTGACAGGCTGCCGTCTCAGAAAAAGTCGCAGTTGGATGCAGACTGCCTGCTGGAAAGCCAGTTAGAGCCAAGGCTGCAGATGAACCCCTCTTGCTTTTGTTCTATTCAGGCCTTCTAATGATTGGATGAGATCCAAACACATTATAGAGAGAAATCTGCTTTACTCAAAGTCCACAAATTTAAGTGTAAGTCTTATCCAAACACATCCTCACAGAACTGTCCAGGATAATGTTTGACCAAATATCCATGACTGTGTCCCAGACAAGTTGACACTTAAAATTAACCATTACAATGACCAAGAGTTACCTTATTGACAGTTACTGAACAAAGGAAATAGCAGCTGTGGTTTATCAAATAGCATTGCCAGTCACCTGAGTGACAGTGCGATATTATCTATTGATCTTTCCTTTCATTGAGAAGTACTCTTAGAACACGTTTAGTTAAGAATTTGTAAAAATACTTTAAAAAAGAGAACTAAAGTTCTACATCCAGATTTGCATAACTTGAAGATCATTGCATTGTTCCAAATCTTTAGCATTGCTCTCAATAAAATCTGTACTTTTGACCTTTGCTGTTTAGATTATTTTTCAGTGTTAATTCTTTTTTCTTCTTCTTCTTGTTTGTTTGTTTGTTTTAGGTTTTTTTTTTTGTTTTTTTTTTTTTGTTTTTTTTTTTGCAGTGCATTGTCTTTCTTAGGAGCAGCTGAAAGTGCACCAAGTAATTCTGTTCATTCTAGTTCACAATGAGTTTTTTTTCTTTTTCTTTTCATAACCTCATACTAATTTTCCACTTCAGTGAATGTAACACAAAACAAATCGGTCCCTTTCAAATAGATAAAAATTAACCCAATCTTTCTTTTTCTATTAAAAGACACAAACACCCTCTTATATATTTCAAATTCTTACATATTTCAAATTTACATTTAAATTTCAGCCAGTAATAAAGATGAACACTCTTCTATTATTCCCATTTATTTTAGGCTACTCTCTTAAGATATAACAAAGTTCTTAAAAGCTATGCCATTAAAGCTTGACAATGACAAAATAAAGGTGGTAGCTGAAATGGCCAGTTACTGCCCCTAAGGCCCAATAGAGGTGAATTTCTTGGTGTGTTTACCATGCACCAAAGTGCACCTGCCTACTCCTCTGACTATGTTTCAGAGTTCAAAACATATTATCCAAATTTAGAAGTGTTATTTGTTCTTTCACTGATTTAAGAAATCTAAAATAGAGTCACCTTAGATATTAAAGAAAGATACATAGCTTTCTGAGAACCAGATTGTTTTTTACTAGGTTTTAAGTGCATCTAATTCATTAAATCAATAGACTTTGGAGACAAAATTTTTCTTTCCGATGTTAATTTGTAAACATAGAACCAGACTGTTCTTAAAAGCTTTTCAAACAGACAATGTTTACCTGCCAAGCTATTCATGTATTACCACAGAATAAGCTCTCTGGTTCTCAGAACATGTGCCTGCCAGATTCCCAGTCTTTCTTCCCTGAGTGAACTTAGATGTCACTGTCAAATCTGGTTCTTTGGTTTCATCATTGAGAGATCCAAGCAGAATATCCCTGTTCTCAAAAGGTAGTTCTTCTTCCAACTGGACTTGGTGCATTGACTAAGCAAGGACTATTCAAAATGATCAAAGAACTAATCTATACAACAATAATATCCAAATATAATTAAACATCACTATACAATTGAGAGTTGTAGTATTTTTTTTTTGATTGTCACCCAAGGACATTTTTGCACTTGTCTTCAGATAGAGTGTGAGGGAACAAGGGAGGAAGAGAGAGAGAGAATCATCAACGTGAGAGAGACAAATTGACTGGTTGCCACCCACATGACCCCAACCGGGGCGAGGGACAAACTTCAATCAAGGTACGTGCCCTTAGCCGGAACCGAACCCGGGACTCTCTGGAATGTGGGCCGAAGCTCTAATCGCTCAGCCAAACCAGCCAGGGTGAGAGTTATAGTATTGACCAAAGATATTATTAGCAATAAGTTTAGATGTGTTATGTCAACTGTGTCATGTTATTTAAATCTAATTGTCTACAAATTATAAGAATCTGATGCACTGGTAATCATTAACAGATATAAATATTTATCTATAAAAGAAAAATTAATACATGAATTTCTGCTTAGAAAATAATGGCTCTCTCTGTAAGATTTATATATACAAAAGTCCAATAGTACAGAAGTAATTCAATGGAATAAAGATGCTGAGTAGAAGATCAAGAAATTATCCAAGGGAGGTACTATCTCCAAGAATTGTTATACATTGAATTGTGTCCCTGCTCTCCAAAAATGTTATATTACAAAATGGTGTTGGAGTAAATGGGAGCTACATAGACCATCTCCCAGGACCAAACTGGAATTACAAATAAAATAAAGACAAATCCTCAGGAAAAAGCAATAAAAAAGCAGTTGGAGAGGACCCATATAACCAGGGACAGGAAAAAAGGACACTTAATCAAGCTTGGACAGTGGCCATCTTACTTGCAGAGACCCTTTCCAGAGCCCCTTCCGGGAACTGTGGGGAGAAGCAACAACCCCTCCCTCAGAAGTTTAACTCCACCCAGCTGGGTTAGAGAAATGCAAATTGAGGCTCATTAACAGCCAGCGTCTGCCTCACCCTCTGGAAATCCTCTTACTCTGAACACCTGAGGGAGTTTTTTTATTCAGTTGAAGGCTAAAACACAAGGCTCATCAAGTAACTGAGACGAATAGCCTCCAGGCAATAAACTAGAGGATAACTAAACCTTTCCTGGACTTGTAAATCTACCCAGGAAAGTAAGACTTAAGAGTAGTATTTAATGTTGGTCCTCCCACACTCATTCAAACTCAGCAGAGGGAGCTACAACCAGCAGAACACTAACACCCATAGGAAAAATTTTGCAGGTTCCTAAACCCACTGAGATAACCAGAATGGTGAAATAAAGAAACAAATCCCAAATGAAAAAACAAGAGAACTCTACTGAAGATGAGATAAATGAAATGCAGTTAAGCAAGTTATCAAAGGTAGAATTATTCATCATGACCAAGTGGGATTCATTCAAGGGATGCAAGGCTGGTACAATATTTGCAAATCATTAAAGGTGATATACCACATAAACAAAATGAAAGATAAAAACCATGTGATCATATCAATAGATGCTGAAAAAGAATTTTACAAAATTCAGTACCCATTTCTGATTTAAAAACTCAGCAATGTGGGAATAGAGGAGTCATATCTTGACATAGTAAAGGTCATGTATGAAAAACCTACATCGAACATCATACTCAATGGGCAAAAGCTAAAAGCATTTCCCTTAAGAACAGAAATAAGACAGGATGCTCACTTTCACAATCTTATTTAACATAGTTCTGGAAGTTTTAGCCACAGCAATCAGACATGAAGAAAAAAATTAAAAATATCCAAATTAGAAAGGAGGAAGTGAAACTGTCATTATTTGCAGATGGCATGATATTATACATACAAAAACCTAAAGACTCCATCAAAACCCTGCTGGATTTAATAAACAAGTTTGGCAAGGTGGCAGGATAAAAAATTAACATCGAGAAATCAACGACATTCTTATACATCAATGGTGAACACACAGAATGAGAAACTAAAATATATATATATATATATATATATATATATATATATATATATCCCATTTACCATTGTGGCATAAAAATTAAGATACCTAGGAATAAACTTAAACAAAGAAGTAAACAACCTCTTCACACAAATCTACAAGACATTGAAAAAAGAAATTGAGGAAGATATAAAAAAGTGGAAGCACATACCTTGTTCATTATTGGAAGAAATAACATCATTAAAATGTCCATACTACCCAAAGCAGTCTATAGATTCAATGCAATCCCCATAAAAATACCAATGACGTAAATCACAGAACTAGAACAAATACTTCAAAAGTTCATATGGAACCAGGAAAGACCTCAAAGAGCCACAGCAATCTTGAAAAGGAAAAACAAAGTAGGAGGGATCACATTACCATATTTCAGGTTATACTACAAAGCCATGGGAATCAAAATAGCCTAGTACTGGCACAAGAACAGTCATATAGATCAGTGGAACCAAACAGAGAACCCGAAAATTGACCCAAGATATTATGCTCAATTAATATTTGACAAGGGTGGCAAGAGCATACAATGGAGTAATGACAGTCTCTTTAATAAATGGTGTTGGACAGCTACATGCAAAAAAAATGAAACTAGACCATCAACTTACACCATACACAAAAATAAACTCAAATGGATAAAAGACTTAAATGGGACTTGTGAATCCACAAAAATCCTAGAAGAAAATGTAGGCAACAAAATTTCAGACATCATATGCAGCAGAATTTTCACTGATACATCACCTAAGGCAACAGAAACAAAGGAGAAAATGAACACATGGGATTACATCAAACTCAAAAGCTTCTGCACAGTAAAAGAAACAACCATCAAAATGGAAAGGGAACCCACTGTATGGGAGAACATCATTGCCAATGATACATCAGATAAGGGATTAATTTCCAAAATATATAGAGTGTTCAAATAACTCAACAAAAGGAAGACAAAGAACCCATTTTAAAAATGGGCAGACTGGCCGATTTGGCTCGGCAGTTAGAATGTTAGCCCGTGATCCAGAGAGACACGGGTTTGGTTCTGGCCAAGGGCACGTGCCTCGGTTTTGGTTTGCCCCGTTGAGGTTGTGCGGGAGGTGGTCACTTGATGTGTCCCTTTTACATTGATGATTCCTTCTCTCTCTCTTCCTTTCTTTCCCTCCCACTCTATCTGAACAAAAATGAAAAAATATCCTCAGGATAAAAAAAAATGGGCAGAGGGCCCCTCACCACGTTGCCGGTCCCTTGCTGCCCGCTGCTCCTGGCCTGGGGTGGGGGGGTGGATAGAATGAGAAGCCAGGTTCTGTCGCAACCTGACGGCCCTTGACTACCACAACCCTGCTGGCTTCAACTGCAAAGATGAAACAGAATTTAGAAACTTTATTGTTTGGTTTGAAGACCAGAAAATCAGACACTACAAGATTGAAGACAGAGGTCATTTAAGAAACATTCACAGCAGTGACTGGCCCACGTTCTTTGAAAAGTGTCCCACAGATGTTAACTATCCTTTCAAGATTCAAGATCAACAAGAAGCAATTGATTGGCTTCTTGGTTTAGCTGTTAGACTTGAATATGGACATAATGCTGAAAAATACAAGGCTGATAATACAAAAAATGGTGACAATGCAGCTAAAAATGCAGAGCCATTGATCAACTTGGATATTAATAATCCTGATTTTAAGGCTGGTATAATGACTTTGGCTAACCTTCTTCAGATTCAGCTTCATGGTGATTACCTGGTAATGCTTCAGGCAATTTGCATTTTGGCCCAAGAGCACCTGACACAGGAAGAAATTGCTAAAGCAAGTCAAGCAAAAGAGGGATTACCTGTTGCTTTAGACAAGCATATCCTTGGTTTTGACACAGGAGATGCAGTTCTTAATGAAACTGCTCAAATTCTGAGATTGCTGCATATAGAAGAGCTCAGAGACCTACAGACAAAAAATAATGAAGCCATAGTGGCTGTTCTGGCAATTATTGCTGATCCAAAGACAGACCACAGACTGGAGAAAGTTGGAAGATGAACATTTTAGAATTTCAGCCTCTCGCCTACTTAGTACGGTTGGGAACAATGCATGCCCTGGCATGTGTTTTGAAATCAAACACCAAAGTTTCAAGGGAAAAATTCCAGAAAATTAACTATGCTTTAGAGATTTAACATCATTTCTTTTTCTTTAATAAAGTTTGGAAAGTTAAAAAAAAAAAAAAAAAAATGGGCAGCGGACCTAAGTAGACACCTCTTCGAAAAGGAAATACAAATGGCGAAGAGACATATGAAGAAATGCTCATCACTAATCATCAGAGAGATGCAAATTAAAACAACTAGGAAGTATCACCTCACACCTGCTAGAATGACTGCCATCAACAAATCATCAAAAAACAAGTGTTAGTGAGGGTGTGGAGATAAGGGGACTCGTACACTGCTGGTGGGAATGTAGACTGGTGCAGCCACTGTGGAAAACGGTGTGGTGTTTCTTCAAAAATTAAAAATTGAACTGCCATTTGATCCAGTGATCCCACTTCTAGGAATATATCCTAAGAAGCCTATAATACCAATCAGAAAGAATACATGTACCCCTATTTTCATAGCAGTACTATTTGCAATTATTAAGATCTGGAAACAGCCCAACTGTCCAACAGTAGATGAGTTGATAAAGAAGCTGTGGTACATATATACAATGGAATACGATGCAGCTGTAAGAAAGAAAGATCTCTTATTTATTTAGATGACATGGAGAGTCCTAGATAGTATTATGCTAAGTGAAATAAGCCAATCAGAGAAAGACAAATACCACATGATCTCACTTATTTGTGGAATATAATAAACAAGGTGGGCTGATGAATGAAATAGACCCAGAGATATAGAAAGGAGTATGGTTCAGACGGACAAATCTCAGAGTAGGGGGGCGAGGGGATGGATGAGATAAACCAAAGGACTTATATGCATGTATGCATAACCAATGGACATAGACAAGAATGCTAAGGTGGTGGAGGGTTGTTATGGGAAGGAGGGTGTCTAGGTGAGAAAAAGGAAAAAAAAATCTGTAACAAAAATAAATTAATAAAAATTGGGGAAAAATATCTACTAGAATTAATAAATAAAATTGTCAAAATAACAGGATACAAAATTAACGTCAAGAAATCAACAGCATTCTTATACACCAATGGTGAACTCACAGAAAGAGATACTAAAAGAATCCCACTTAATATCATGGCAAAAATGTTAAGATACCTAGGAATAATCTTAACCGAAGACATAAATGAACTCTTCACACAAAACTACAGACCATTGAAAAAATAAATAGAGCAAGATATAAAAAAGTGAAAACATAAATGCTGTTCATGGATTGGAAGAATTAACATATTTAAAATGTCCATACTACCCTAAGCAATCTATAGATTCAATGCAATCCCCATCAAAATACCAATGAAATACTTCACAGAACTAGAACAAATACTCCAAAAGTTTATATGGAACCAAAAAAAAAAAAAACACGAATAGCAACAGCAATCTTAAAAATGAAGAACAAAGTAGGAGGAATCACAATACCGGATATCAGGTTATACTACCAAGCCAATGTAATGAAAACAGCCTGGTACTGGCACAAGAACAGGTATATAGATTAAGGGAATAGAACAGAGAACCCAGAAATTAACCCAAGACAATATGTTCAATTAATATTTGACAAAGGTGGCAAGAGCATACAGTGGAGTCAAGACAGACTCTTTAATAAATGGTGTTGGGAAAATTGGACAGCTACATGCAAAAAAATGAAGCTAGACCACCAACTTATACCATATACAAGCATAAACTAAAAATGGATAAAATATTTAAATGTGACTTGTGAATCCACAAAAATCCTAGAAGAAAATGTAGGCAACAAAATTTCAGACATCACACACAACAGAATTTTCACTGATACAATGCCTAAAGCAAGAGAAACAAAGGAAAAAATGAACACAAAGGACTACATCAAACTAAAAACCTTCTGCACGGCAAAAGAAACAACCATCAAAATGGAAAGTGAACCCACTATATGGGAAAGCATAATTGCAAAGATACATCAGATAAGGGGTTAATTTCCAAGATATATAGAGTTCTCATACAACTCAACAAAAGGAAGACAAAGAACCCACTTAAAAAATGGGCGGAGGACCTAAATAGAGACCTTTCCAAAAAGGACATGCAAATGGCCAAGAGACATATGAAGAAATTCTCGACCTCACTAACAGCCCAAATGTCCATCAGTAGACCAATGGATAAAAAAGCTGTGGTATATATACACAATGAAGTACTACGCAGCTGTAAGAATGAAAGAGCTCTTATCCTTTGAGACGACATGGAGGGACCTGGAGAGTATTATCCTAAGCGAAACAAGCCAAGCAGAGAAAGACAAATATCACACAATCTCACTTATTTGTGGAATATAATGAAGATAACAGTCTGAAGAACAGGGTAGTCCCAGAGACGTGAAAGTAGGGTATAGACTGACAATCCCCAGAAGAGGGGGTGGTGGGGGGAGAGATAAACCACAGAACTTATATGCATGTATGCATGAACAATGGACATGGACAATAAAGCTGGGGACAGGGTGGGAAGAGAGGGGGAGGAGGGTGTCAATGGGGGGAAAAAGGAGAAATATCTGTGAGATAAATAAATTAATTAATTAAAAAAAAAACAAAAAACTATGAGGTATCACCTCACACCTGTCAGAATGGCTACCATCAACAAATCATTAAACAAGTGCTGGCGAGGGTGTGGAGAAAAGGGAACTCTAGTACACTGCTGGTGGGAATGCAGACTGGTGCAGCCACTTTTAGAAAACACTATGGTGTTTCCTCAAAAAGTTAAAAATTGAACTGCCATTTGACCCAGTGATCCCACTTTTAGGAATATATCCTAAGAAGCCTGAAACACTAATCGGAAGGAATATATGTAACCCTATGTTTATAGCAGTAGTATTTACAATTGCTAAGATCTGGAAACAGCCCAAGTGTCCATAAATAGATGAGTGGGTAAAAAAAGCTGTGGTACATTTACACAATGGAGTACTGTGCAGCTGTAAGAAAGAAAAATCTCTTATCCTTTGAGATGACATGGAGGAACCTGGAGAGTATTATCCTTAGTGAAACAAGCCAATCAGAGAAAGATAAATATCACATGATCTCACTTATTTGTGGAATATAATGAACAAAACAGATGAACAAAATAGACCCAGAGACATAGAAGTAGGGTACAGACTGACAACCTCAGAAGAGGGGATTGGAGGGCAGAAAAGAGATAAACCACAGAACTTATATGCGTGTATGCATAATCAATGGACATGGACAGCAATGCTGGGGACGGCACGGGTGTCAATGGGGGGGGGGGACATCTGTAACAAAAATAAATTAATAAAAATAATTTTAAAAAATCAGACATGGACTTGAACCCCAAGGAGCAGAATATTAGATATATTTTTAAATATCCACAAATCTATACAGAATGTTTCATGTATATCAAAATCCTACAAGAATTAAGAAAAGAATAATGAAATGAAATAATGTAATGAAAGGATAGAGAGATGTTAGGAAAAGGTTAATTTATTTTAAACATAATATTTAATGTAAATTTGGCCCAGAATAATATTTAATGTAAATTTGGCCCAGAAAAAAATGTCACCCACATGCTATTATTTTTTCTGAGTAATTATATGATTTGGAAGGAAGCTTGACAAGAACATTTGCATAAAATTCCCCTTGCTGGATTCTATAAAAGAGAAACTTATAGGCCAGTGGCCTCAAACTTGTAACAGGTATAAAAATATATGAAATGCATACTCATATGTACACTTCCCTGTGTGCAGATACACATGTACTAATCTAATGCAACTCGGTATAAAGTCAAATATATTTCTCATATAATTTGCTAATAAATCTATAAGTAAAAGAGAATAAACAAATGAAGATGACCTAATTATAACTAAGCAAAGAAAAATTACTGAAGATGGCAAAGCAACTTGTAGAAAGGCTCATTACACATGGTGTCAAATCTATGGTATTTGTTCATTAGCTTTTGGTAGTTTGGAGAGAGCACACCTATATTTTTTTCTGCATTTTATTAGGAGATATCATGTTAAATAAAACCTTAGCCTTAATTTAAAAAAAAATACTCTATGATATGTGATGTTCCTTTATTATCTTTTAGAATACTTTTACTTTGTATTATATTCATACCGTATATCAAGGCAAGTATTATTTAGCAATATGTATCCCAATACAATCTTTTATATTTTCACTTTACAATTTTTCATGGAATTATGTAAGATATATTGAAACACAAATGGAAAGTTTTTACTCTACTTTTTAACCTATATATGGAAATATACATTATTCCAAACTGACAGTTCTTCCATCATAACCCTATACCTAAATTGATCTGACATGAAAAAGTAAAAGAAATGTAAAAGGCTTTATTTTCTGGAAACTTAAAGAGATGCAGCTGCTCTAGCCAGAGTAAATAATTATAAATTATTAGTGCCAAAAAAAAAAAAAAAAAAGACATAATTTCCATCTCCTGATTAAATCTATAGAAAAGATCTTCAAATGATACAGTTCAGCTGCCACCAAATGACAAATCAATCAAGAAAGACAATACAAGTGAGCAATTAGCCTGTGGTCAAAAGACAATAGTATCCGGGTGGCTTTTTCACTCCCCTTTATAGCCTTGTTATTAATCAGAAAAAGAAGTGATCATTTATTGGATCTACTTTTATTTAAACATTAAACGGTTCCGATTTGAGCATTCTGTTTCCTGTAAACAAAGGAAAAGTTTCCAAATGAGTTATATTTGCTTAAAAATATATATTTGTACTCAAAAATATTCAAGAAATGTGCGTGAGTAGGCATTTCTTTGAAGTAAACCAAAGCAACAAACAAACAATATATATAAACAACCCAAACCCAAAACCATGGATCACTTAATTAAACCACAAAAAATATCAAGCTTTTTTCACATGTTCTAGATTGATTTACACTCTTATCA